ACGAGGGAATCAAGGTGGGTGTCGTTAGGGCCACGAAAGGTGACCGCTGTAATCTCAGAGCAAACCACAAGGACGCGAGAACCCTTGTTGTTCTCCGCGATGTCCTTGGCGAGACGTAGAACCGTGCCTCCAGCGAAACACCCTGGTGGCTTTTTAGCCCTTGTTGGCTCTTCGATCTTTACATCAATTGCCTTAAAACTCATAAAATTAAGACCATAACCCATTTAATTAATTCAAAATCTGACAAAAAAAACATGTTTTAATTTATCGTCAATTCTAATATAAACCACTTTAATTTTCTAATTTTAATTAATATGTAGGGGTTTTTATGAATTTTTTTTTGTGGGGTTTGTATGTGATGACATTTGAGGGATGTGTGTCTTTATACATCACTAGGTGAATTATGAGCTTCTTTTGTGTCGATTCTGAGCCGCATATGATACCAACTTCAACACCTACCAAGATATAATATTTTACACTCTCAACCCCTGTTTTTAACATTTCTTTCACTTTGGTCCTTCTTTGATTTTCAAGATATTACAATTTGTATCAAATATCTTTTCATAAGATGTTTAATTTAATTAAAAAAAGGAAAAAAAACATCTCTCTATGTACATATATACCATGAGTTCATTAAAGATATGTTTGTTAACAGCTTAATAAATTTAATAAAACTCATAACTTATTCAGTAAATTGTAAATATGAGTTTTATGTAGAATACCAAGTTTTTTTTTTTTTAACTTGATATTTTTAATTAAAAATCATGTTTCTTTCATTAATAAAGAAAAATGATACTAAAATAAGGAGAATTAAATGAAAGGATCATACATCCACTTGTATCTAATTCATCTACTAGCTTGTGTAGTCAAACTAAAGCAAACATTAATTAATGGCATACATCATGACCCTAACTTGAATATACAGTGGTTTTGTTAAGAGGTGAAATCAATTAATCTCAAAGATGTACATATATATGAGACTTTCAGTTAAGAAAAAAACAATAAAATTGTGATAATCTTGACAATCAATGTATCATATGCGATTTCACATTTTTTTATCCACGGCTTAGATTTGATGTATGATTAACACATATATTTCAGAATGTGTTTGTTTTTTAATATGAATATTTTTTTATTTGTATGTGAAATAAAAAATATAAATAAAGAGTTTATCATTGTGAACCGAATACATATAAACAAAAACGATGTGCTTAAACAAATATATGTTAATTAATATATTAAATTCTAGCTTTAACAAGATGAAAAAATTCTTGTGAAATAATATCGTATGATAATAGTTCTCATAATTATTACAGTATAAGACTTTAGCAAATGATTACGAGTATTCTAGCACGAGTACACTAACAAGAGAGGAACTACGAGTAGAAACCAATCACTTTGCAAGCATTTTTTAAAACCTATGAGTTATACAACTTATTTTCTTTAAATTCTAAGAACTACTTTTGTCAACTTGCGATAGAACATAAATAATATCAGTAAAAAAAAAATTAAAAGCTATTAGGCCTTCAACCATAACACTTTAAAAATTGGATAGGTTAAATGTATGGTCATTGAGACTTCCTAAGAAGATCTGCTAAACTAATCAAGTTGTTTCAGAGAATTAAAAGTCGGCGATTAATGGAACTTCTTGTACGTTCTCTATGAAATACTCGTTTGGCCAAGGGCTTCCAAACGCATTTAAGTTAAACTAGCTAACGACGAACAACCAACCTGTGACTATTGTAATAATGTCAACAAATAAATGTTAGCATGTGTTTCTAGACATGGTGAGCTCCACATATACTTGTATAGGGATATAAGGCAATAAAAATGTTCAAATGTCTTATTAAAGTGCTTATACGACTTCAATTTATAAGATCAAAAAATAAAATCTCATATCTAAAAATGTTACAATGAGTTTATAAGACGTTTTTAGTTGTCGATAACAAGTTTTTTTAGATCATGTTTAAAATAAAATGTCATATTAGTTATTTTATACAAGTGTCATATAATACAAATGATCTATAAAAAGATTGATTTATAAGATATTTCTCAAAAGTATCATATAAAATAGTTTTATACTAACACTTAATATAAAAAGTTCTAAACATTTGTTACGATGCTTCAAAACATCCCGTAAACTAATGACAACATTTTAAATATAATATTTTATTATTTGGTCCTATAAACTTAAATTATATACGATAATCTATTTAGACACATAAATAGTATAAGTTATAAACCTGATTTTATTGTATAGATAAATATGAAGAACTTTTTAAGTAATTAATAATAAATATATATAACAAACAAATCATGGGATTCAATAGGAAAATTACAACATCCTATAATCCGTGTAAAACGTAAAATAGCACACATATTAAATAAATATATAAAACCCTAATTCGCCATTATTTAATCCAATGATAAGGGATCATAATTAAGACGCTTATGATCAATTTTGGGTGACAATTGGCATGGTGGTTGGCAGGCTGTGAAGGACCACCGTCTCCACTGTCAAACCAGGACCGAATCCAAACAAAACACCCCAATCCAGACCTTCGCCGGTGGTGGTGGCACCCTCCTCCGCYGACTTCTTCCTCATCTCGTCAATGATGAACAACACGCAGGCACTGGACATGTTGCCGTACTCGCTCAGCACATGTCTGGTTGCTCTCATYTTCTCCTCCTTGAGACCGAGTTTTTGCTCCACCTGGTCCAATATCGCCGGACCACCAGGGTGGGCGATCCARAAGATGGAGTTCCAGTCGGTTATACCCAATGGAGAAAATGCCTGTGTCAGTGCCTTCTCTATGTTCTTCGAGATCAACCCTGGAACATCTTTGAGAAGATGAAACGTTAGCCCYACCTCTCTCAAGTGTCCGTCAATGGCACCCTCGGAGTCCGGCAAGATGGTCTGAGCAGCGGAGACCATTTCGAACAACGGCCGCTCCGTCGTCAAGTCAGGGTCCGCACCCACGATGACCGCCGCAGCTCCGTCACCAAACAAAGCTTGACCCACGAGGGAATCAAGGTGGGTGTCGTTAGGGCCACGAAAGGTGACCGCTGTAATCTCAGAGCAAACCACAAGRACGCGAGAACCCTTGTTGTTCTCCGCGATGTCCTTGGCGAGACGTAGAACCGTGCCTCCGGCGAAACACCCTTGTTGGTACATCATGAAACGTTTGACAGAGGGGCGGAGGCCGAGGAGCTTGGTGATCTGATAGTCGGCACCAGGCATGTCGACACCGGAGGTGGTGCAGACGATGAGATGAGTGATCTTGGATTTGGCGTTGCCCCATTCTTTGATGGCTTTTGTGGCGGCTTCTTTGCCAAGCTTGGGGACTTCAACGACCACCACATCCTGGCGAGCGTCCAGGGATGGAGCCATGTACTCGCACATGTTTGGGTTGTCTTTCAGAAACTCCTCCGTGATGTGCATGTATCGCTTTCTTATCATGGACTTGTCACCTGCAAATTTCATGCATGTAAGTATAAACAAGACCCTGCAAATCTAATCGAAGGTAACACCTCAAATTAAAATGATAAATATGTTAGTATGTAATTTATGAGGTACGTATATATAGTAGGCAAGAGTGAGTAAATTTGAACACATACACATGCGCTTGAATTTCTCTTTAAGATCAACCATGTGTTCGCTGTTGGTGATCCGAAAATAGTAATCCGGATAATCTGCTTGATAGATACAGTTGGAAGGAGTTGCAGTGCCGATGGCAAGAATGGTGGCCGGACCTTGTGCCCGTTGTGCTTTTCTGATCTCCGCAATATCAATGGAGGAAGCCATTGGTGGTTAATTGGTCTTAATATCAAAGTATATATTTAGAAAGCAGAACTGCAGTGATAGTGAGGAACAGTTGGTTGAGTGGTGATTATATATAGAGTGAAATGGTGGTAGGTTAGATTTGTAAACACTAACGTACATATGAATTTCGATATATGGAGAGGGTACGTGGTGTTCGTGATGGTAATGGATGCCACGTTATGTATATATGTATTTAGCAACGTTTACGAAAGTGAGTCTTGATTTTTTGTTAGAAGACCAAGTTGGCCTAGACTTTATATGCAATGATAAACATAAAAAGGGCAGGATGGTCCAATGTGTAATTTGTGACATGGTTTTTAAAAGTTTTTGGGGTCTGTTTTGATGTTTATCTAATTATAATACTTTAGCATCATCTTCTTTTTACTTTGAACAAAAAATCTTCACCCTTAAGAAAATGGCAGATCAAATCAGGAGAGCATCTAATCAACACTAAAAAAAACCATTGCAGATCAATCAAGTAGAGAAACACATCTTCTCAATGTTCACTTTCTTCTTCGATCTGTATAAACATCTGGAAGCCTACCTCATGGTTCATCACTGTTCGATACCCATTTGTAGCCTTCATTTGAATCCTTCATCTTCATCAGGTTCGATTTCCATTTGCAGCCACTTTCATCTGTTCGATTTCACAAGTCAATTCCAATTTTTGATAGGGTTAGTGAGTAATGGATTTCATTCACATGTTTGATTTTTTTCTAGATTCAGATTTTGAAATGGATTTTCTTCATTTATGTTTTTATCATTTGTTAGACTTTTTGTTAGGATTGGCACTATTAGGGTGCGTTTGGTACGTGGAACATGGTGGGACATGACAGGACAGGACACACTTGTCCCATGTTTAGTGTGTTTTTAAGTGGAACTAAATAGAACTAAGTGGAACTAACCTGGACATGAGTGGGACACGGATGTTCACCATTTACCCCTGGAACTAAGTGGAACAAGGTTTTTTTTACAAATCTACCCTCACTCAATCGTGCGCTTCTTCCCTATCGCTCCTCCATATGCAGTCTCCCTCCATCGCACCCTACCTTCTCCTTCATCAATCGGCGACGGGAGTTCTACCTTCTCCTTTCTTCCCCATCGACTAAGTGGACACGAGTTCTACCTTCTCCTTTCTTCCCCATCGCTCCATACAYAGTCCGCCTCCATYGCTATCCCTTCTCCTTCATCAGGTACACGATTGCCCTAATAAATCGGCTGTTTGCTTTATTGCCCTAAATCGGCTGTTTGCTATGTTTGGAATGATTTAGGGTTTGCTATGTTTGAATCGATTTATAGTCATCTTTCTGGTAATCATTTCTCAATTTGATTCAATTTATGCTTCTTTCTCTATGAACTTAAATGCAAGTCCCTGCTTAATATAGTTGCAGCATCACATTTTGTTCATTAGGGTTCTTTTTATTGAAATTTGATCTCTACCTCTTA